CCTGACCCCTTCAGCCCCACTCTGCTCACCAACACCCCTCCCAGGGGAGAATCCCACAAAATCCCAGCTAAAAGCTGGTGGGGGGGTGGTTAACTTTGAGCCCTACTCCAGTTCAAGGGAAGGAAATAAAAACTGGGATTTGCCTTTCTCTGGAAACTCCCCGTGCGAGTGGATTCAGGAGAGCTGGGATGGACGGAGCACAGAGAGGCTCTGCAGCTCGTTAGGGTAATTAATTAACTCTCCCAACTTCCACCCACACCTGAGCTTTAATCAAGGAGCTGCTGCCTGACTTCACAGCCCAGGGAGAATATTTTAGATCCAGAGAAAAACAGTCCTCCTGACTCCAAAATAGCTTCACCCCCTCCCTCCATTCACGACTTCCTGGCAACCCTCCTCGCTCTTCCTGGGAATAAAACCTAAAACACCCAGCCCTTCCCTCATTCCAGGCTTTGAAGGACAAACAAGGACAGATTTCGGCCATTTTCTGGCAGAATTAATGGTGAAAGGCCTTTTTTTGGCCCCTCCATCCCTGCATTACCTGGACACACCATCCCCTGAGCTGCCTCTCCTTCTCCCTCCCTGCTCCAGGGATGAGCAGCATTGGAATTCTGCCCGCTCCATCCCATCTCCCACAGGTTTGAAACCATTACATCCACTCAGAAATCCTTTTTTTAAATCTATTTCTGAACTTCCCATGAAGTCACAGAAGCCGTTCGAGCTGAGCAAATAACCCCTCACCAGTAATTTATTCAATTTGTTCCCTTTCAGCTTCATTTAGGATTCGGGAAGAGGTTTTGTTCCACTCTGTGGTTCCAGCAATTAAATGGAAGGGGTCAGGACAGGCTCTTCGATCATTTCTGACTCAGGGTGCACTGTCATCAATTCTGCTGGCACATGTGGCACTTGGTCCCCTGACCCCTTCACACTCATTCTGCTCGCCAACACCCCACAATCCCCCCAAATCCCAGCTAAAAGCTGGTTGGGGGTGGAAGGTAATTAAAAAAACGCTCTTAAATAATTTTTGATTCAGGGTGCACAGTCATCAGTTCCGTTTCCTGAGAAAGCAGGAGCTTTAAGAGCAAATCACCCCAGCTGAAGGATGGGGTTCAGCACCCAAAATGCTCAGAAACCCCTCATGATATTTGGTTAAAATACATAACAAAAAGGCTGTTTGCAGAAAACTGAAGGGAGGGAGCTGAGCAAGCAGAAATATTCTGCACTGTTGCCCAGTGAGGAGGAGGTGAGATGGGTTTTTCTCAGCTCTGTTGCAGCACTAAGGACAGGTCAGAATTTGGCCTTCACCGCTACCCACAAGTCCCTGAGCTGTGATCCCGGCAGGACCTGGGGAACTGGGAGCTGTTCTCTAGGGAAGCACACACAGAGCAGGCCCAGGGCAGTTCTCACCTGACAGGGAGGGTCCTGTCCCCTTTCCTCCTGTCCATCTCCCTCTGGGGCACGGGGTACCAGCGGAAGTTGAGCTTCCAGTTGAAGCCCCCGTAGGTCATGTCGGAGCCCGCCATGTACTCGAAGGTGTCGTCGCTGATCACGTCGATGATGGGGCACACCACGGTTTTCCTGCGGGAAAAGGCAGCTGGATTTGAGCTGGGCAGGGACTGGGGGGGTTCCTGGGTCAGCAGGGGGGT